GATGTTCTAGAAATTGATAACATAATATGTGAACAGTCCCCAAGAGAATCCCAAGGTGGCGTTGAAAGACGACACCGAAGACTACCGACGTGCAATGTGCACACTTTGCGGTGCGGTGCCCCGCTCAGTGGCGTCACTCTAGCGGAGCAGACCGCCGTAACGAAAATGTTAAGTGGACCAGCGACCCTGACTTTTTAATTTCACATTTATTTCATTTCAAAATTTTGTTTACAGAACTTTGAAACATATTCATCGGATAGAATGTTACAGAAATGTGTTTTTCCGTTTTTGAATTACTTTTGCAGGAAAAATCATTTTCACTTAAAAGATTTCACATTTATTACATAAAGTAAAAGTTTGTAGCTTTACTTTAATCCGTCACCAAAGTGTATAATACACCTTACTTCAGACATAAAAACGTTCAAAAACTCCCGGAAATACGTTTTTTTCTCCAAAACCTGACATGGTAAATAAATTTGAGAATCGGATTCGGTGTCAGCGTGTCAAATAAGGAATTGAAAATAAAAAATTTTTTAGACCTGGTTATAATTTTACACAGTTGGTTATTTTTCAATCGTAATGTCATAATTAAATTCGAGAGATTACCTTTTTGTACTAGGACCAGCACCATCAGAATCTCTTTTGGTGGATTGTCTTCTAAGATCGGTTCGGGATGCTGCATATTTTTCACCATCTTCGATTCCTTCCTGTAATAAAAAAAATTAAAATTGGAGGGAATACTATAGATTATTTTGATCTATATCTTCGTACACGAATTTCCTAGCAAATATCAATCTATTTATTTACACATTAAATGTTGTAACGTTTTTCGGTAGTGGTATTTCATACGCTCTTTATGAGTGTACGAAATGGGATGTCGGTAAGTGCTCGGGGCTGGCGTCTTTAAGAATGTAGTCGACACAGGTTGGTAAAATAAAATAAAATAACAAAATTTTATTAAATACTCGGTAATCGGTACAACAGTTTTATGATCGGTGTCAATTTTAAGAATGTAGTCGACACAGGTTGTTTCGGTAGTGGTATTTCATACGCTCTTTATGAGTGTACGAAATGGGATGTCGGTAAGTGCTCGGGGCTGGCGTCTTTAAGAATGTAGTCGACACAGGTTGGTAAAATAAAATAAAATAACAAAATTTTATTAAATACTCGGTAATCGGTACAACAGTTTTATGATCGGTGTCAATTACTCAGTCTTAATCAATTGTCGGTATTGTAGGAAAGTGCTTTGTCTAGGAATCGTCCTATGTTTGTTTCCTATCCCTATCTCTCTCTGATCTGTAGGTGAGGTACAGAGGATCTGCCTGGGTTGGTTCTATAGCCCTAGTGGCGCTTTGCCGACCTAACGGCTATGGCACTGTATGCGACGCAACTACTAACGGCACGGATGATAGATTATACAAAATGGCGATAACTAAAGTTTCCGAGATAGATCACAGTAGTCTCCTCAGAACTTTGAAAATTATAAGAGATTTAGATAATATAGAGAGCTGGACGAAGAACAAACGCTTCTCATTTTTCCGAAAAAATCTGAAGCAGAGTCATATGTAGTAGGAACAAAAGAGAACTTTCGAAATTGTTAAAATTAAGTATAAGGAACAGACTTCCGTTTCCGGCGACGCGGTGAGAAGGTGTTACAGTGACAGTATACAAAAGGCAAACGGTGTGCGGTGTAAGAGACGGGTAAACGGGCAGAGAAAATATAGTGCTAGAAGAAGGAAGGAATAGGGAACAAAGAGAATAAATCAGCGTAAATAGGTAGGGTATGGAGGGTGAGCTAAAAGGGAGACAGGAAAGGAGACAGAGAGTGAGGTTAGGAGTGCAGAGGGACTGGGAAAGCAGGTAGCAAGGAAGAAGGACAGACAGGTGGAGACAGAAGGTAAGGAAGGAAACAAGTTAGGTTGATAGGATAGATAGAAAGGTAGAGGGCAGGCGGTCAGAATAGCGTGGGCCGGTAAGGAAGGAAGTAACGGGAGCAGGTAAGGAAGGAAGCGGTTATGGAAGAAGAGGGCAGGGACCTGAAAAGGAATTTAACGCTTGAGAAAGTACGGATAGGGAGGACAGCAAGTGAGGGAGATCTGGTGGGAGCAAATGTGAGGGGAAAAAGGAAAGAAAGGGAGGCAGAAGGAGAGAAGAGGCAGACGAGGGAGTTGGAAGAGGCGGAGGTTTTCAAGAGGAGTAGGAAAGTGGAAAGATGACCGACAAAGGAGGCAGGAACAAAAGGAATGGAAGAAATGATGAGGAGGATGGAAGATGTAATGAGATCGGAGTGTGAAAGAATAAGAGAGAGGGTAGAAGAGCTAGCGAGTGAAGGGAGGAAGGAGTGAGGGGAGATGAGGAAACAATGGGAAGAAGAGAGAGTTGAGATGAGGCAAAGGATTCAGGAGCTAGAGAGAAAAGTGGAAGGTCTAGAAAAGGATAGACTGGAAAAGCAGGAAAAGGAGAGAAATGGGGTAAATGGAGAAGAGAGGGTAGAGACAGGGGGAAGAAGAAAAGGACTAGAGGAAAAAATGATGAGAGATCTGGAGGTTAGATTGGATAGGAGAGAACGGGAAATAAAAAAGAACAACATTGTGATAAAAGGAGTGAAAACGGGAGAAGGGGAAGAATACATAAAGGAGGTAGACAGGATCTGGGAGATAATAGGAGTCGTAGAAGGTAGAAAGAAGATAAGAAGAGTAGGAGAACAGGACAGGGAAGGAAGGGGAGTAGTATGGGTGGAGCTAGAAGGGCCGGATAAGAAAAGGGAGGTAATGAGGGCAAAGAGTAAGCTGAAGGGAGAAAGAGAAAGGATAGAGGATGACCTGACGGTGGAGGAAAGGAGAGTAAAGTGGAAGATGGAGAGAGATGTTCAGAAAGAAAGGGCACAGGGAAACAGGGTGCGAAAAGGGTACATGAAAATGTGGGTGAATGGGGTGATGAAGATGTGGGACGAGGTAGGGGAGGATTGGGCGGCGAAGACGGGAAAGCGGTGGAAAAGGAGAAAGGGGGAAAGAGGATATTAAAGATGAGGAAAGAAAGGGAAAAGGAGAAGGAAGTGTATAAGGTGGGGTTCTGGAATGGAACGTGGCGTCAGGACGACAGATTACAAAAGCCCCGCGCGAGAAATGAGTCCTTCTTCCGTGCTCGGGCGATAGCGGAGCTATCGGATAATAGCGAATTGCGATTATCGGGATCTCTCGCAAAGAACCATGGCTCCCGGGTTTTTTTTTGTATGGTCTAGTGCCAGTGCGTGGCCGACTGGGTGAAATTCCCAGTGTTTGATGGACACCCTCGTGGAGCCGGGTGCGGCACCACGATTTGGATTTGGTACGGGACTGATGGGACAGCCAGTTCTCGGTAAGTACCACGAGGGCGGCCTTATTTAGAGAATATCTTGCGCGAGAAGATAGCCGAGCGGGAGTGGTGCGAACACACGGATGCCTGAGGTGGCTACCGACGTCAGAGGGCACACTCCCGAGGAAGGAAAGGCTCGTCTCCAACGAGACCTGTTAGGATCGTGAATCGCGCCGCGAGGGGATTCGCGGATTCGGTAGGGACACCGAGATAGGGACAGGTCTGGGGCAGGCTAGATATCACGACTCGGAATAGTCGTGAGCCGCCGTTGGAGAACACACTGTACGTGGCGGGATTTGGTTATTTGATGGTAATAAACGGAACGGTATCCTACTCGCTGTTTTATCATTTTGCGCGCCTATTCGTTGACTCCGAAATTCTCTCTCGTCGCCCCCATGTTCCCCTCTACCATTTTCAGTGCGCTGAGGCTGAGCCGCCGGAAAATCTGAAAACGGCCGTGGTGAGGGATGGTGGTGCGGGAAAGCCGCACCTGGCGCCCAACAATTAGATCTTCGGATCTTTTCTTTGATTACAGCACGTTGGGAGCAGCCACGGATTATTTGTAGGCGACGCCGATGAACGGTACACGTTAAAACGTATAGATGGATTACTCAATATACTTCGCAGAAGATTGCTACCGGATTTATCAATATCTTCAAAGACATTTTTAAAAACGACAGAAGCAAAATACACTATTGTAATCCATGATCAGGATGGTAGTGAATTTGTATATTTTGGGATGTCTGAACATTTGCAGCGAACAGTAAACCCTTCTTTACATGAAAATCGAATTATTTAGATGCTAGTGAATGTTGATGGATTGCAATTGTATAAATCAAGTTCTAGGCAATTCTGGCAAATTCTGTGCCAGATATTTTCGGAGGAAAATGACTACAAATCTTTCCCAGTAGCAATCTATTCAAGTACTCATAAATCAGTGAATATAAACGAATATTTAAAAAAGTTTATAATATAAATAAATGCACTTCAAGCTCATAGATTGGTAATTGGTAATGAAACATTCACTGTATGTATCAAAAGTTTCATATGTGACACACCTGCTCGTGCCTTCTTAAAGTGTATCAAAGGCAGTAGGGGTTATTGGGCTTGCGAAAGGTGCACTGTACGTGGAGAAAGAGTTGAGAAAAGAACAATATATCCAGTAGATGATTTATCTGAACAGAGAACAGGTAATTCTTTCCGAAGTCAAACAAACCCTGATCATCACACAGGTCGGTCGCCTTTGTTGAATATCAGGCCATCAATTAATATGGTTGTACTTTTTGTACTTTACTTCATGCATCTAGTATGTTTAGGAGTAATGAAAAAGCTCTTAGGCTATTGGTTGCATCACAACTCCAATACACGAGTGAATCATACTGGTAAGGCACTATTGTCTAGTCTCTTATTGGAAATGCAAAATCAAATTCCTTGTGAATTTCAACTTACTACTCGCTCACTAACTGAAGTAGAACGTTTTAAAGCAACTGAATTTAAATTTATATTATTGTATGCAGGTCCAATAATTTTCAGAAAGGTATTGCCGGAACAAATTTATAAACACTTTCTTCTTCTCCATGTAGCTTGTCGCGTATTGTGTTCAAAAAGTAAAGCGGTTCTAGACTGCAGCAATGCTAAAAAATTGCTAGAAAAATTCGTCATTTTGATGTCACATTTTTATGGTAAAGCAAGACCGACCGGCGTACAACTTTACGCGATTCCTACGCGTTCCAGGCAACCCAGGGGCTAACCAATTTTACTTGCGAAATACCTAAGGTATTGTTGGGCGGCAGGTTCCAAACGGGACCCACGTATGAGTTCTACGGCTCGTCTTCGCGTGCCTACGTTGGCTAACTCAGCTATGCGGAGGCGGCGGGATTCGGAACAATAGGTCGGATAGGTCAGACGATCACGCGACACACAAAATCATTCGGACACTTCGATCTCTAATATTCAAGGAAGGTTCGGTTTATTAAATAAAATCGGCGGCGCGAAGCGCGACGATCTCTTACAATACCGAAGTAATTATTTACAAAAGAAATAGTAATTAATGTAGATCGAAAAGACAAAACCAAAGTACAATCAAAAGATGGTAACGGGTACTTCGCGTACCGTATGAATTCAAAGCCAAAGTCGTAACACGGCTAATCCGCGTTTACCAAAACACGACAACCGACCGTCAAGGACCTGCGCGCGTTCTACGCGATACAAAATCGAAAGTACAAGTTCCTTGCGGGCGGAACAACATGAAACAATTCGCAGACGTTACAAAATTCTAATTCAATGATTAATCTCAAACAAAATTCCAAACCGTGGACTCTGCCGGTCGACGGACCTTCGTGCCGTGGCCTTATTCGAGGTGAGGGATTGTCCCTCCGCGTGTTCGTTACACGCGCAGTCAAAACTTACGAAAACAACAAAATCCGGTACCACGATTCGCACGAAGTTACGTCGCTCACAAAAGTCAGTTAGACTCGCTTACCGTGGTGTTCCTTGGTCGCGTAATCTCAGAAAAACAAAGCGTCAGCCTAATGGCACTCAGTGCACTCGCGTACTCACAAATCAAAAATCAAACGTCTATCGCCGTCGCGTGTCCAAACAAGATTCTCCAGATCTTCACGCGCTTTGTCTTCGCGTGAAGGAAAGCACCCCCTCCCTTTAGGCTAATGGGCGGCGACTCGCCCTGCGGACGAATCCTTCAACCCAGCGTCTTTGCCACGCGCCAGTTTCGAATATGTCATCGCGACAATTAATAACTTCCATCATCTCTTGTGGACAATTTAAACCTCTCCGTCCTACGAAGAGTAACATTCGTTCTTGCGCGAGGGTGCACCAGGCGTCCCTGGATTCCCAACTCGCGGAAATATAATTCTGCGAAATATATAATGCGCAACTGACGATGGGCGCTATGCCATAGGGGTCGGTAGTGGTGCTAAGTCGGGTGGCGCTGTGTACGCCGCTTCCAGTCGTCGTGGTTGAGTACCAGCTGAGTAGAGCGCGTTGCTGCCGCGTGACGTCAAGCTGTCCCGCGTTGCGCGCGCCTCCTGGGCCAGTAGAGCTGCTGTCCGCAGATAGCGCGAGTGTATGCTCAGTCGGGTGGCGCTGTGTACGCTGCTTCCAGTCGTCGTGGTTGAGTACCAGCGGAGTAGAGCGCGTTGCTGCCGCGTGACGTCAAGCTGTCCCGCGTTGCGCGCGCCTCCTGGGCCAGTAGAGCTGCTGTCCGCAGATAGCGCGAGTGTCGACCCTCGTGTGTCGCAGCTCCCTTCCTCCCGAGACTCCAGCTGACTCTCCCTCTCTCTTTCTCCGCGTCTTCACGGGCATGGCGAGCGAGCTCCTATTCGAACTCCGGCAGAGTACACGCCAAACAAAAGAAAATAATAAAATAATCTATCGTAATTTTAATTAGGCTCTTGCGGTCGGTGGATCCTGCCTGGACTTTGCAATGGCCTTTTAGGCCCGTATCGCGTTTCAGCGTGATTTTCCGCCGAGGACAAGACGGGTGAAATCCACCACGTCACAATGCACATGCATTCTTTCAGCGCCACCAATTTTGCTGAACTGTTTGTTTGCATGTCACTGAAGCACATGCTTAGATTGTGATCTGTCTGCGTATGCACGTAGCGAATACTTATATTTCTCAATATTGTCGTTTTTTTGTTAATTTAAATTTGACCGATAAAAAATATTAATTTCCACATTAGAATTTCTACAAAAGAATATTCGTAATATATATCAATACAATTTCAATTATAAACCATTAAAATAAATGCATAAGTTGATATATTTTTAACCAACGCATAGCCAGATAGCGTGGTTAGATTCGGTATTTGCCTCGTTAGCCTCGATACAGAGACATCTCTTACCTCGTAAGAGACATCTAGCATAACGAAAGAGTACCTGTCGCGTGGGAGTAAATCTATTTTCCCTTTCGCATAATAACCATCAACGCAAGCAGACGTGTATATCCAAAAGACCACAGGTAACCATAGGAGCCTAATACAATCCATTTCAAATTAGGTAGCAATATTCATTTGCATGTTTTGTATGAAATATCATTGTGTCAACTTTACAGAATATTTGGAATTTTGCTCTTGGAAGCATATACTAAGATTCACATCACTGACATTCCACGTGTTTCTCAATGTTACCTGTATCAATATTGGATGCGGTACATACCAACTGATGCTATTCCATATTCAGCAATGTGCGTATAACTGTATGTGTGCGATCGATGTGGGTGCTGCGTAATGTGTGTTTTTTTAGAATTATGTGTTGTTTATAAGAGGCGGTTGAAATAGTCATCTAAGTATAACGGGATATGCATTTATCGGAGGAATCGAGGGATAGATATACATATTCTACCTTTATATTAGATCGTGAAGCAAACTTTTGTAAATACGAGATCTCGACCCTGTATCATCTGTCAGAAATTGTAACTAAACTAAAATACAGGAGTTTACATGTTAAACCATAGTTTTTCTTCGTAATATAATGATATTCCAATGGGACTGATTCTTATTTTATTGCGATTCCCTGCGTACCAGGTTTATAATTTTGGTATTCAAACATTTTCCATGACGATTATTTACATTATTATTCAAATTCTATTCGTGAAATTAATTAACATTCACCATAATATGAAGTACATACCTGAATTAATTCAGGAGTCATCGTTCTTGCTGGAGAAACAGGTGGTGGTTTATGTCGAAAGGAAGTGGTAGGTGCTTCTGGTGTAGCAATTCCTTGGTTTTTATTTACTTCTTTTCTAATGTTTCTGCCGATATCATCATCATCTTCTTGCATCTGTCTTTCATCCTCAGGACTCTGTTATAAAAAGATTGCAGTTTATTTCATTATTTATTCTGAAGTACAGTAAGAATTTTTTGAAAGTAATATAAAAATATTATGGGAATTTTTTAATAATTTTTCACATATAAATGATCCAAAGCGTGAAATACGTGTATAAAGGGATACTTGTTTATGACAATGATATTTGACCAAATATTATTTTAATGTTAATAACGATATAACAGAAAAGAACATATATTAGTTTCATATTAATATGCTATTCACAGACACTTAGTATGCTCTTTATATTGCCACATTTTCATTATTATAATATAAAATTAATGAATATAGTTAAATTCGATTGTATCACTATAATTATAACTAAAAATTATCGTAACACAGTTGTAACTTTTGCTAAATAAAAATTATTAATTGAGATAGTTAAAATGAAAATGAAGTTCACTCGAAATAAATTAATTACAACACACTAATGTACAGGATAATAGACTGTTACATATGTGTTCACACCCATCCAGTATCATTCTAAATACATGGAAGTATATAAAAAGAGAACGTACAAATGTAACACGCTTCCGACTAAAGAGTCGCTGCATCGCAATCTGGACAGGAACTAACTCAAACTGAGCGACAGAAGAAGCTAGCTAGTATTCACTAGTAGGTGGGTGGTTCTATGTGTAAGATGGGATGGCTCAATTCAGGGATAGAGCTTATACTGTACGTGATGGACGGTTCATTGTTGTAACATGACCAACTCTTTCTGGCAGACCAGACACTCCCTAACTCATGTGCATCCTTTGACCCCCTTTATTTTACCGATTATTGGAGAGTCACTGCACTCTTCTCTATCACCTAGTGGTCAACTAGTGTAGCATATATAACATACCTGTGTATCAACGTATACATGGTTGGACCACGACAACTGTTTCATTTTTGCAACCACCTTCCTCCGCTTTACAAAATAAATCAAATGTGCTTTGATATTCCTGTTGAATCGAGTCGACTATCGTTGATATTAATGAGAATATTTATTTATTGTTGTGTTGGTTCGGTGGTATACTCCATGGAAACCGTATCATCTTTTACTTCTATCTATATTATTTTAAGTTTGCAAGTTGTCAAGATTATCTTGTCCAAAAACGGTCTGTCTATTAAAATAGATTTTTTTATAAATCATCTTTAAATAAATTATTTATTAATTTCTATAATATTTAAATATTTGAATAAAAAAGAACAAATAAAAAAATCATGGTTTTCAGACTAGTTAAATATCAAATTAGAATACGGGTTTGTCATATCGCAATATCATTATGTAGCTATAATATTGTTTTGGGTATTATTTTTTATGTATTTATTGTTTCCCCGAAGGGTTACAAACTTCCATTCTCTTAAATTGCTACCTTATCCGCTACTTATCCTACTTACTGACTAATGATAGCTATTTCTTTCGCTCTCGCTTCGCCTCTCCCTTTCTCGCCACGCTCGGCAAATTTGTCCACTTTTCCTTTTTTCTTCGCAACCTTATCTCTAAACTTATCCTTCCTTTATTTTTTCTCCAATTCTCGTCTCATCATTATTTCCTCCCCTGCACCTATCCAGAACATGCTCCCACGTCTCAGTTTTCTCCCCGCACACCCTACACACCCTTTATTCTTCTCTCTCCCAGTATCGTCCTTCCTTCGTCTCATTTCCTATCCTGTACCTTGCTATTCTCCTATGCCGTTCTTCACTCCACCCCATCCTCAGGTACTTTGGTATCTCTTCTATTCTCACGTCCCTGTACCACCTGTTGTACCTCGAATCCCGTATCCCCTTCTATCCTTTTACCTCCTGTCTCATTTATCCTCCTTCTCTACCCTCTCGTAACCCGCTTCTTCGTCCTCTCCTCCTCTCCTACCTCTCTCGCTCTCCCTCTGCCCTCTTCGTTCTTTCAGTTCCCTTCTCTCCTTTACCCATCTCGACATCTTCCCCTCCACCCTTCCCTCCCTGTCTCTATTTGAATATTGCGCCACACTGTTAGCATGCATGGGCGAGACAGTATTGAATAAACTGCAGATAGCGCAGAACAGAGGGATGCGCGTCATATTACAATACAGCAGATATACGAAGATAGAGGATATGATATGATACAAGCGGATCAGTTTATTAGTGTGAGGTAGAGACTGTACTTTAATGTGTTGTGACGTGAATTTCGGAAATTCAGTCACAAAGATTGCTGGGAGTAGGGAAAAGAAATATGCACTTGCAACGACTCTTCAAACGTTAGTCACCCGACATTCCAAAGATTGCTTTGTTTGTCTCGCCTATCTTTACGCAGTCTGTTTTCCGCCTATCGTCCTTTATACCTATTTCTGTTCCACTTTTCTGCTTTTCGTTTTTTATTTTTTTAGAGCTTTACTATTCGCACTCGCCTACCTCCTCTATCGTCATGGGCAAATCTACATTCTACACCACGAGCACGAAGCGGACCGTCAACGAGACTTTCTGAACTACCGGACGAGCGATCGACAGAGGCTGGACCAAGCTGCTGTTCGTTCCGGAGGATTTCCATGGAGCAAAGGAGACTCGGGTTGGAATCCCTCTAATACTTCTGCCGGCCACCCATACGGGCCGCCAAAAAGCTCCCTCGGCACTCGTGCCGTCGATAGGAGAAAACGTCATATCCTCTATCGTGCCGGTCAGTCGCAAACCGCCCACTGGCGCTCCCGTTATCAGTGGCCCCCGGAGAAGATACCAGGGGCCACTTCTCGCTGGATCCTGCCGCTCGCCCTGAGGACTCTCGATTGACCGCATTAAGGACTCCTGCACTCAGCTTGGCCCGCTCTGCCAATCTTCGGACTCTGGCCACCTGCGTGAAGTTGGCCGGCTAACTTTTATTTTTTAAACTTTTTTTTATTCCAATCGTTTGATAGTCGTTTGATAGTGTTTGATAGTCTTGTAAAATCGTTTGATAGTCAATAGTCTTTTCAGAAAATCAAAATCAAAATCTGGTGTGAAGTTGGCCGGCACTTTTTTGTTTCTAACCGGATTTTGTTTTTCAGGAGCTCAATCGATGCAAAACCGTTTGATAGTTGCGAATTAATCGATAAAAACGTTTGATAGTCCATCGTTTGCAAGAAAAATGAGAAAAACCGTATGCGAATCAAGGATCCCAATCGATACGATACAATCGATTCCTCGATCGGCGTGTCCGTTGAATTAGACTATATTCCAAACTTTTTCTACTTACAATCATTTGATAGTCGTTCGATAGTGTTTGATAGTCGTTTAGTAGTCAATAGTTTTTTCAGAAGAGCCAAATCGATGTACGATGTGAAGTTGGCTGTCGTTTCCTTGCTTCTTGTCCATAATCAGCTTCTTCAAGACACGTAATAAGCCAGGTTTTAGGCATTTCTATAATTACATAATAGTCGTAAGTCAGCAATTGTTGTCATAACTTATTTTTACGAGCAACCAGAACTATACTTTCCGATGATTCTTTAATAGGTAAACAGGAATACAGTCTTAATACTGTAAGTTTATATCGGAATATAGGCATGGACGCCTATATGACGTCAGCTTTCATGACTTTTCAGAATGGCTCAATAGAAGTCTATAAACAATGCATTGTTGTCACCCTATGGCAAACTCGGGCATGCAACATTACTTGTATAGCAGTGCAGTGATTGGTTGAAAAGGTATTCAGACACGTTTTAACCAATCAGCGTCTGCTGACAGTTGTACAACGGTGTATGCGTGGGTTTACACCAGTAGTACATCATGATTGTGACTAGAATGGAGGATACGCATAGTATATGGTTTTTCTCATTTTTCTAGCAAACGATGGACTATCAAACGTTTTTATTAATTAATTCGCAGCTATCAAACGATTTTGCATCGATTGAGCTCCTAAAAAACAAAATCCGGTTAGAAACAAAAAAGTGCCGGTCAACTTCACACCTGATTTTAATTTTGATTTTCTGAAAAGACTATTGACTATCAAACGATTTTACAAGACTATCAAACACTATCAAACGACTATCAAACGATTGGAATAAAAAAAAGTTTAAAAAATAAAAGTTGGCCGACCTACTTCACGCAGATTAGGTATACTGGAACGCGTACGCCTGTATTCGAAGGTTGTTACGTCCTGGAGTTGGTTACCTTGAGGCCAACTTCACGCAGGTACTCTGGCCGCCAGACGCCTCGTCTCTGGCTACCGTCAGGAGGCCAAATTGAAGGAAGGAACTCCCTGGGTTTATCTTTGCCGATCTTGTACCGTTTATATTTGGTGAGAGCCTTTCGATACCGATATTTTGAGATCTTTTGTGAATTTATCTGAAATAATAACTGTCTAGGCTCTTTGTGTCGATGGCAACTTTCTCGCTTACCGGAACTGAATGTCGTTCCAGTCCCTCGAAGTAAAAGGACGATAGTGCCGGATACCGTTTATCTATCGTAGTTTTTCTTTTCCGTAGAGTTATCTTTTGTATCGAATGTATCATAATTAGTAGTGATTGTCAATGATTTAGTGCTTTGGAATTGTCGAATATTTTCTAAGTTGCCGATTATCTTCTCGACTGCGTGGAAACATATAAAGCCCCGGCGTCTCCGGCTTAGCCGTCTCCCCGTTGAGAAAGTCATGTGGCTTTAATTAAATATCTTTTCGCTTATCTATCTTTTCCGGCGTTATATGTCGCTTTCTTATATAGAGTTTTGACTTGGAACATTTTTCTTCAACATCTACCGTTCCCCTATTTTTCGCTTACGTTATTAGGAATGGCATCCTCCTCTTAAATAAATTAATATTTTTATTTTTTTAAATTCTTAGTGCTACCGTCTTATTGTAATATTTCTCAATGACTTACACTGTTAGTCGAACGTAGAGTCACCTTCTTTTTTTGGGGTAATCGTCCGATTTAAAAATAAAGGACGCACTGACTATTAGTGGCGTACCTATTAATAATTTCATTTCGCTGATTAAAATTATTCTTTTGTTTTTATATATCTATGAGAGCTTGCCACTTCTTTTGACTGTTTTGTATTGACTGTACTGCTTCTGTTAATTTATTTGAGTGAATACTGTACCTGTGTCTTAATCGCAATTTTCTTATATCCCGTTTTCGACTCTTTTCAATTGTCGGGAAATTTCGCGAATGAATTTTTTCTTGGCTTTAGTATCATTACGAACTCAATTATTTGTTCTCGCGTTTCTTTCGTATTATCGTATTCATTGAAATATCGTCTACCGTCTCTTTTGCGTCGGCGCGGATTGGTCCCGCTGCCGTATCGTATCGCCAACAGAGCCGTAGTCCCTTGCTAGTTCCGCGTTTAGTTTAAGAATTTTCATTTATATAGAATCCCTGAAGAAACTATCGCTTTGTAAAATTACTCTAAGGGCTTTTGTTATATTGTTTCAATCTTTCGCACCTTAGTAAATCCCACTTTCTTTATATGGGCTTGTATTAGTCTACTTTCCGTATCGCTTCAGAATTTACTTCAGCTTTTCTGCTTTCAACACGTTGTATGACTTGCATGCTGCTTTCTCACTTTCTTTAATATAGCTTCGGTGCGTTAAACTTACCTGTCTTTCTCGACTATCTTTCTTTTACCTATTTTCGCCATTGCCTGTCTATTTCTTTTCCCGCCTAGCCTCTTGAACGCCACGAGGCTCTCCCAGGTGAGCCTCTGAACCGGGTATATTTTTGGAGATCTCGTCGACTGCTTGGTTCTCTCTCTCTCTCTCTCTCTCTCTCTCTCTCTCTCTCTCTCTCTCTCTCTCTCTCTCTCTTTGATTCACCGATGCTACGCACTAAGGTTCAAGGTTAAGTAGAAAAGTTCTGGAAACTTCCTGCAGAACTGCATTAGCGATGCGCAATTCCGCGAGATAACGTTCGAGGTCAAACAGGCTGAGGGCTGCCGTCCGAAACCTACACGGGGCCCGTCGAAGCTTCTGGAAGTCTTTCCGGGGTGGGGGGCAAGGGGCTGCCTCAAAACGTCGCGCGAGAGGACTGCCGGCTTTGGGAGCGATCCTTCCCGACTTAGCACGGACACGAACCATCGAAGCTTCCAGAATGTTCTAAAAGGTTCTCGATCGTGCGTAATTCCTAGAATCGAGCGCAAAATTCCTAGAATGTGACGCAAAATTGCCGGAATCGAACAAAAATTCTTGGAATCGAGGGGTTCTGATGACGTCACTTCCAGAAATCGTAGAGCTTACGACGGCAACTTAGCACGGACACCCTCCTTCAAAGGTTCTAGAGTGTCGATATAGGTCGATGCAGGAATCTGTATCCAGAACCGGCCCTGTTATACTACTCCACTAAAGAAGGCCGCTTACGCAGTAAGACACCGCGAGATTCTCCGGGATCCTGGGTGCATAAGGGGGTTACAGTAGCGGCCTGGATCCGCGCAACGAGGTAGAAGATGCGGATGTTATCAGATGTGATTCTCGCCCAGTCGAAAGACATTGCAACCGCCCAGAAGTAGAGAAGATGCTAGGATCTATTTTTCTAGGATCGAAGAGAATAATTGAAGATCGCACGTGAATTGGACTACGTAGAGGATAGCGCAAATTTGATTGGGCCTAAGAGTAATATTCTTCCGCGCCACTAGAGCACGTTAGCGGGTGGGCATTCTAGTAGCGTCACTTGCGGTCTAGCCGATCTAGTATACGGATTGTCTGACCAAAAGTGTGTGTCAAACTTTTTTTAATGTGAGAGTGAGAGAGAAAGAGATGGATTGACAGGAGCTGAAAGTCTTAGAGAAGGCGATTCGGGTTGAGTGACGCTATCGAGTCTCAATGAGTTTGTAATTGATCGAGATAAACGGAATCATAAATATAGCTGCTGTTATCTCGCATCAAAGTTTCGTCTACCGTTTTGTTTGTAATTAGTGAAGAATGCCAAATTATCTTGCATGCAAAACTTTCCCGTTCAGTCCACGTTACGTGCAATCATTGCGGTCGTGTTTTGAGTAATGTAAGGACCGAGTAGAGGTATATTTCCCGGCGATAAATTTGTAGATGGTAGAAAGGCAACTAGGAGATTGAGTATTTGCTGAGTGATATTTTCAGTAGCAGGTAGGTCTTTGGAACTGATTCCGGTATCGAGATTAGTCGTGACGGGATAGAATACTGAGACGTTTCGTGATTTTTGAGTGTTGGGAATCACAAGACTTTTTGTAGGGTTTGTGCACTGGGCAGGCGTCTTTAGAAACAATTAGACACTGAAGTTTTTTAAAATAAGAAGATAATGATATATTATCCTATAAATTACAGGCTAGGTATCCTTAATATTCTATTTTGCTCTCTCTCACACATGCACACACTTTATAATTGTCTCTAGCTTGCTAGTAGTACCACAGGCGACAAGAAGTGTTTTTGTTTACTTATTCTCTCTGCTAGCCTTTTGGATTGGAAAGAGGTAGCTGGAACCACAATACAGCAGAGTGCACAATGCGTCCGAAGACTGTGGCGTAGCTGAGGTCTGGAGAGTGAGGATTCAGGACCACAGATGGTCACAATGACCCCCGTTCGCTGAATCAATCACTGTAGGAAAGGGTGAACTAGTGTCACAATACAGCAGAGTGCACGATGGGTCCGAAGACTGTGACACAGCGAGCAGTGAAGATTCAGAACCCACAGATGATCACAATGATCTCCGTTCGCCGAACTATTAACTTTAGGGATTTGGACAGAAGGAGCTGCGGCCACAATACAGCAGAGTTCACAATCCGTTCGAAGACTGTGGTTCAGCGGGAAATAGGTGTTGTAGAGATCAGAACCCACAGATGGTCACAATGACCTCCATTCGCTGTATCTTCACTTCGGAAGGGTTTTTGGTGATGTGGATTCTGGAGAGT